TTGCATTTCATATGAAAACAAGTGGAAGGCCTTTCAATTTTTTCGATTTGTCTATGCAGCATAAAGAAACAGGTGACATACATTGGATTTTAATAAGTGTTCTTATGTTACAATGATAAAGTCTAAACAGGGATTTGCATCTTTTAAGTGTTCTTAAAATTTATTTTGTTTCGGTTTCATATTCATATGGGTTGAATCTGAAGACTTTAAATTTGGTTCGAAATCCAGCAATGAATTGTTGGGAAAATTTTCTAATGTATTATATCCTAGATGCGATTATTGGACATTCTTTCACTGTACTTAAATCATATGTAGAATGGGGTTCCAATGATGGGGTGAATAAACTTGATCTCAGAGATTGGCTTCACTTCTTCATTGGGATTCTTGATGTTGTGTCTTATGAAGCTTCCTTTCTCCATTTTTTTTGGCTTAGAAGCATTGTTGCCAATCAACAAAAAGTACTTATTTGCATAGATAATTGTGTGGTGCTAGAAACGTCCGAGAGTGAGTGAACTAGATAATTTGCAATCAATAGGCCTTCTTCTCTGCATAGAGTTGCAATGAGTGTTCAACAATCTGAAATTCTGAATATGTGATGAACATTTCTTTACCTGTTCAGCGAAAGCCTTTTTTCTTTTGTTATTCTTAAAAAATTAAATTAAATGTGACCACTTAGGTTTATAATCATAAATCTCGTATTGTTTTGGCATGAAAAGTTAGTTCATAGAATGAGCAACGCTTTGCTGATTTGAAATGGATGAAAGCATATGTCAGTGTGAGTGTGGAGAGTCTTTTATCAATGCTCATCTTATGGATGGAACGACATTACTCTATTTTAGGCCAATGATTTGAATATAGGCTTACACAAAACATATGGTAATTTCTTAGAGATATTTTGTAATCATGCCGTTATCAGATTTTATTTGTGTACATATGACTATCATCCTCTTTAGTATTCTCTATTCTGTATGTTGTGTCATTAAGCAATTTGTTTCTGAACTTATTCATGGATACAGTGATACAGAAAGTGTTGTAGATTTTTTGTTCAA